CAAAAGAAAATACCATTCTGATTCACCGCACGAATGTGAGTCATGCGGTAAATGTTTCAGTGATGACAATGCTTTGAAGAGGCACGATTGCGAGAAACGATCTGCTAGAGACAAGGAAAGATTCACTTGCTGGATGTGTGATGAATACTGCTACGATCATTGTGGATATCTTTATCACATGTATAAACACATGCAAGGATAAATGGAGTTACAAAAGGCTTCTAAAAGAGCCCAAAAATGATAAATAACAGTGGTTTGGAAAATGACTTATGAGCAGTGATACTAACGCGGGGGGTTTACGAGTTAATGTTCCGTTTGAGTTCGTCCATGCAGTTTTCCACCCATTTGTAACGGAACAATTCTTTGTTTGGTTGTAGTTCTGTTTCAGTTAGTTAGTTGAACACGCCTTTTTACCATGATTCAGTCAACACATAATTGGTAGATAGATAAGGCTTAATCACGATGGTGGGCGCAACGATGTGATCACAACATAGTTAACAATACTGACTCCACTATACATAGTAAATTTGTTTCTATTTGAGTTGGGATATGTAATTGCAGTGATAATTTTGCTTTGTTTAATTTAGGTGTTGGATACAGTTACCGTAAACTACCGCTCACTATAACCCGGCCCTCTTATAACCCTCCCCAGTTATAGGCCATGTATCCCTAAAAAAAGCATCCTTTATAAGCACCCCCCCACCCTCTGCTTTTATTGAAATGAATTCGATAGTATGATGTCATTTTTGCTTAGCCTAAATTAAAAACAGAAAAGTCAAAACACGTTTTGATCAGCACTGCTATAGCTTCTTTCGAAGCCTTTTTTTACTCCGGAAATCAAACCCTTCGGATACAAGCCCCTCTCTTTATAAGGCCTCCTCCTAACACCCCTTACTAAGCGTCAGGGCTTATGAGCGGCAGTTTACGGTAAGCTCTCATTTACTGGTAATAACAAGAAACGCATCTCGGATTTCTCGTAAAATCTATTATGTCTAATACTCAACAGGTCAACCAGTCTAGGATACTTAGCCCAAGACCCCGTTTATACGTGTACGTGCAAAATTTTAAACGGACGACAAAAACGTGATTGGATCCGCCTTTCCTTTACACGGGACCCGGCATTTTTGACAGGTACGGCCTCGCTTTTGCGTTGACTTACGTGTGAACACCTGAACCGTGCAAGTTTTTTCACTGTTTGTGCGTTAAAGGCCTGGAGCCTAATTAAGCTCCTTTGATAAAAAGAGCCATTCCAATGCTGATACTGGCAAACGTTTATACGGACTCGTGTAAACAGTAACAGACTTTGAACGGTTCCGTGTAAAAGGATTGCACCGGTTTAAAAGTCCTCTGTTAAAAACTTGTCCAGACCTGTGTAAACGGGGTCCAATACATTTCATTTATGTTTCGTTGAAGTTGCTGAACATTGTATTTTTCCTGATGCGTGCTTAAAATTAAAGGACACAGTTAAGTGTTTATACCGTTGTTACGTTGCTTAAGACTAGGGAGGACAGGGTGGGGTCCAAATCTCCCCCCTCTCGTACCTTGCATTTCTGGATCCCGTCCCTTTTTTTCTTGGCTTTTTTCCTTTGGCTCATTTTCGACCGCGAAATGTGAGGCATTGTTACGTAATCATTTCCCTTATTTATTCCCCTTCACACCTTTTTATAAAGTACAAATAACGGAAGCAAGTTTTGGACCTAGGCTTGGAGGTCGATCTGATAGCTGCCCCAAATTATGGAATATACCAGTTCTATCAGTCTCTTAAAATTAAGAACTCGTCTTTTCGATTTATTTTTGTCTTTATTGATTATTAGGTTGTACCAGCAATGTTTTTTTAGGATTTTGAGAAGAATGTGAATGACATAGCCGGGAGAATTTCTCGCCATCTGGTTGGCTATCAAGGCAAGGTATTAAAACAGATTTGCGGCCTCAAACTCCTGAAAGTGAGGCTGGCCCAGTGGCTGATCCAGACCTTGAGATAAGGGGGCGGGGGGGTCATCCAGTCCTTGAGATAAGGAGGGGCTGGTCTCTTTTTTGAATTCTGGTCTTAATTGTAAGAATTGCCCTTATGTATCCAATCGTTTTCGGGACTCCGGGTTCCTTGAGCTGTATTCCGTTTTCCAAAGCCCAGGATTACGGATTCCACAAGTAAAAATATCCCGGATTCGTTTGCAGCTAGGTTAAGTAATAAAAGATAAAGGCTGTCGGGACCAGGCGCTTTATCATCCTTTAAAGATTGCAGTTGTTTTTTGACGCCTTTACAGCTGAATATTAATGGCTCTCAATATGAGGGATAATGCTCGGCTTAAGAGACGGGATGTTATTCATACCTTCGGACAAACAGACGCGACAGAATTGGTGTTCAAGGATTTAGCCCTTGCCATCGACCTCTAGGTCTGCTACCCCAACCCCCTTGCTTCACACTTTCTTAATACGGGCCGAACCACAGAACTTTAGGACTTGTTTTACAGGCATCTACTAGAAACTGAGATGTATATTGGTCCTGAGATTTTGATAACGCTTTGTGTAGTTTTTCTAGTGTCTTAAAAGGTTTTTTGCACAAGTCTGTCATTAAATGTTTCTTACCTGTGAGACGGTAAGTCCCCTAAATATCTCGAGGCCTCAAGCAACTGATTACAATGCCTATATGTATTTTTAATCACAGAAGTGACCATTTCTTTAGCGCACGTAAACATGGCGCCTTCTTTGCAGTAACAACTGTGGTTCAATGATTTAAAAAGAAATTTTGCACTGTTTAAGACGGTTTTCATGTTTCTAGCCTCACCTAGTACCTCACTTAAGAACTCAATAAAAAAGAAGTATTTCAGTTTATTTCAAATCTTAGCTTCACTGAAAGTGTTTTCGGTAAAAAAGTTAGGCTTGTATACATCATAATTTATTTCTTTGCGGCCCTATCAAGAACAATGGGTGTCGAATGATCATCGTTTATTTCTCAGACAAGAATAAATTAAGCCACAATATAAGTTATACTGCGGCCCCTCTTCAGTTTCGGCATGTTGAGGGTTGAGCTGTATTTTTGGTGTGGTATAAATGGCAATAAACATACTCTCACATACAATGGTACCCAGGGAATTCATTCACTTTTCAATTCTTGATGGATTTGCATCCTCCGATTTAACCGCTTTTTTGTTGTTGTTGTGTCAGCAAGGATTGTAGAATGATGCCACTAGTACATAAAATGAAAGGGCCTGGGCACAAGGATCGGGCAAATCCGCCATTTTGGTTGCATTGCTGGTCCCATTGCGACCGTTCCTTCTATCTCAGCACGCTTATATTTAATCGATAATCTGCATTAGGGAGACTTCGCGAAACTGAACGAAATTACGGTAAGTATTCACCGTTTTGTGTTTCTTCCATCTTTTGTGAGAACTGAATATTTCCAGAGGTGACCCCTTAAAATGACCGAACCCGTCCCGGAACGTTATCATTTTTAAAGGTGAAAGGGGCGGCAGCAACTCAGTTTCTATGATCACGATTACAGGTCACTGTTTTCCCCTCAATCAAAAACAACGTTTTTTATTTCCGAAGGGATAAGGGCCAGGAGCTACGCTGTTTATATTTCTGACAACTCTTTGGGATTATCAGGGAGTCCACCGGCCGGATATAGCAGCGATCTCCCGTTCGGGATAAAATAGACTTTTAAGTATTTTTGTGCTTTAGTTTGAAATCTAGCCCTTTTTTACCAAAATAGTAAGTTTTCTGGAGCATTTTTGCACGTATTTAGTCACTGATGTCAAAGACTATTTTGTGATGCGAATTTTATATGGCATGTACTTCATGTACGACTTCATATAGTGTCCTAAGCCATTCCCATTGCTTTCTAACCTGCGTTGGGCGGGTCGATTTTTGGGGTTTTAGAAGGTGGGGGTTTTTTGACATTAGGGGGGTAGTGCAAGAGATTCTCAAGATTTTAGATCTCCAGAGGTTGGCATCTCAGTGTTTATTTAACTGGACCATGATGACTGAGCTGTATGTTGATCTGTGGAATGTTACATGTAAGCTGACACTAAACAAACACTCCTATAATTGCGTGTCTCGCACGTTTTTCTACTAGCTAAACACATTTTTAACAGTTACATCATGGGTAGCATAGACATACTGCAGGTCGATGACAATACATTATAGATTGACAAAAGCATCGGAGCTGGAGAGTCGACTATTTATATAAATATGACTAAAGAGAAGTAAAAAATATCTCATAGTCCCAGTAAATAATAAATATTGTTTTACGATCTTATCATTGTCTATTCATTTGTGCTGGTTTATTTACAACTCTCCTCTTTCCTCTGTTTGTCATCAAATTCGTTCTGTGACCTTATGTGCCTTTCATCCTAAGCTTGTATCAGTGGATCAGAATGGCATTTTGTCGAGTTTGTGTTACTTCCAGGTACAAAACTCGACAAAATGCTACTTAACTCAGCCAGAAACGACAAGGTGATTTCAATTTTTAGGCTCCATTTTTTCTGATCGATTCACTGATGCAAGCTTTGGATAAAGCTGTACTTGAGAACAAAACCGACATCGAATTTGATGAGAATCAAACTGAGAAAATTTTAGTTAAATGTTAACCAGGATAGATTGATAGACTGAATGATATAATGGAAAAGGAATATTTATTTGGAACTCTTACAAATTATTTTTTTAGTCGAACACACATATAGTTGACTCTCCAACTTCCAAAAATTCGGCATTTTGTCAGGTAACCCACACAACCAACCGGTAGAACCCCCCCAAAAATGTCGCCGTTCAAAACTCAATCGAAGCCTTCTGTTTTTCTTGCTTTTAAATTGCCAGACATGGCCGCAGAGAAGAGGACTCGAGGAAAGTCGTTCAAATGCAGCCAACACCTCAAAGTACACAGTGATGAGAGGCCCTACAAGTGTACTGTCTGTAAAAATTGTTTCCGACAATCATCCCACTTACAAGACCATCTGCGGATACACAGTGGAGAAAAACCCTACAAATGTACTCAGTGTGACAAGTGTTTCAGACGGTCAACAGATTTGACAAGGCACTTGTTTTATACATACTAATGAAAGGCCCTTCAAATGTCCTCGGTGCAAAAAATGTTTCCGAAGGTCATATCACTTGCAACACCATCTACGGATGCACAGTGGAGAAAAACCCTACAAATGCACTCGGTGTGAAAAGTGTTTCAGACATTCTTCAGGATTAATGTATCACCGCAGGGTACACAACGGAGAAAAACCGTTCAAGTGCAGTCATTGTGACAAGTGTTTCAGACATTCTTCCGGTTTAAACTATCACCTTGGGGTACACAACGGAGTAAAACCCCACAAATGTAGTCGGTGTGACAAGTGTTTCAGACAATCATCAGATTTGAAAAGACACTTGTTAATACATAGTAATGAAAGGCCCTTTAAATGTACTCAGTGTGAAAAGTGTTTCAGAAAGTCTTCTCACTTGCAAGACCATCTGCGGATACACAGTGGAGAAAGACCTTTCAAGTGTACTCAGTGTGAAAAGTCTTTCATACGGTCATCACACTTGAAAAGACACATGTTAATACATACCAATGAAACGCCCTTTAAATGCACTCGGTGTAAAAAATATTTCCGAAGCTCATCTCACTTGCAAATCCATCTGCGGATACACAGAGGAGAAAGACCCTTCAAGTGTACTCAGTGTGACAAATGTTTCACCCGGAAACAGACATTGTTTTATCACAAAAGAAAATTCCATTCTGATTCACCGCAAAAATGTGAATCATGTGGTAAGGATTTCACTGATGACAATGCTCTTAAGAGACATGATTGCGAGAAACGATCTGCTAGAGACAAGGAAAGATTCACTTGCTGGATGTGTGATGAATACTGCTACGATCATTGTGGATATCTTTATCACATGTATAAACACATGCAAGGATAAATGGAGTTACTGAGCACTTCATACATAGAGGTCAGAAATACTAAACAACAGCGAAATGACTTAAGACAGTACCGTGGTACTATTTACATATCTACGCACGGAAAATTTACGCGACCGTGGAAGTTCACCATTACACATACTAATTTTTTTTCTTTGTTGAGTTGGTCTTTGTAATTGCTGTATGTAACTTTGCAAGATCCTGAGCTTTCATTCAAAATCTTTCAACGGTTGCTTTGATGAATTTGTTTTACATGAATGACCTCTCATTAAGTGGTAATAACCAGAAACGTATTGAACTTCTCTTAAAGTCAATCAGGCTAATATTCTTAGGCTGATATATTTCTTTTATTTTGGGTCGTTGAAGTTGCTGAACACTAGGCTGATTTAGCAACAGAAAAGGAACGTCAGTTGACTGGGCGGCGCGCGCAAATCAAACAACTTGCTTGACCAATGACAGAGCGGCAAATCGGGCACCGGAAGTCGAGGTTAGTCCTTTCCGTGCTCTTTTCCGTCGTCAAGTGACGTTCCTTTTCTCTTGCTAAATCAGCCTACTACATTGTTCTTGTTGCATGCTTAAGCAGATTAAGGGTGTGAACTAGGGGGAACAGGTGGATCCAAACCTTCCATTCCTTTCAATCCAGGCTACCGCTGGCTCCCGAGCCTTTCTTTGACTTCTGTTTCCTTCAGCCCTTTTTCTATTGCGAAATATGAAGCATTATCATATAGCTGGAAATTTTTCCCCAACATCGTTACTCACATTGGTTACTTCAAGGTCACATGACATCTAACAATGAAACCGTTTCCCGCCAAAATCTCTGAGCGGGCAACATTACCAAATGTATGACGTCACAGGATAACAGTGCACTGTTTTTTCTTCGTGGGCTGTATAACAGATCCCTTAAAGTCTGGTCCCTCGGGAAACATTTAATTTTGTTTCCCTCGAATTTCATTGAGGTTCTCGGGAAACAAAATTAACTGTTTCCCTTGGGAAGAGTCATTAAGTTTTAATTGTTGCGTAATTATTTCCCTTTATTTCTCCCGCTTCCCACCTTTTTATGGACTCCCACCTCCCGCCCCTTATTCTCCTGGGCTCCCACGCCCCTGTCCTCCTCTCCTGCAAACTAATATGACTAGTCAGAAGTAATGGCGGTTAGTTCGTCAGAGTTTATGCGAACACTTCAGTTAAATTCACTGAAGTTTCTATAAGAGAATGATTATCAAGGCGAAAGGGATTTAGGATGTCTTCTGTGTTAGATTAAGAAAAAAAGCTTCTTCTGTCGTGTTACACCAAATTTTGTCATGCTACACCAATACTTTTTAATAGAGTCCCGCATTGGTTACCTGTAAAGTATTGCATTATTTCTGACGGGACTGTGATACGCATGTGCCGCATTTTGATTTCTGGTCGTTCGACGGAACTTCTTCAAAAATTGTTATGCAGGGGAAAAACAATTTCTATCGGCCTGGTTGGGCTTGTGAAGGTCGAAATAACGGTATGGAACAAGTATTTGGTCATCTTTGGACGATTTACACGGTGTATTCAAACGGTATATTTGTATTTTTGAGAAATTGGATTTCTGGGAGAGGAGTTGCACAAAGCTGCTCGGGACGAAAACGTCTGTGTCTCGTAGCCAGCCGCCTTCTTTGTAAATAAAAAAAAGGAACAAACTTAGAACCGATGGGAGGAGAATCATCGAAAGCTATATGCCTTGAAGAATCACATGTATGTGTCTACACTTCACAGACATGGCCTTCGCCTAACATCTTCAGGGGCGGATCTAGGGGGAGGGTGCAGGGGGTGCGCACCCCCCCCGAGATGACCTGCGGTTTTCTAATACAACTGGTATTCTGCAAAAAAAGAAAACTATGTGGTTTATTGGTGTTGAAGTAGAGCAAGAGACGAGTGCACCCCCTCCTAAAAAAAATCCTGGATCCGCCCCTGATCTTCTGTCCTTGGAGATGACACGAAGAGCGGGTTAAGTCAGTTCGCTAAATCCCGCTATTTTATATCGTTTTAGTAGCATTTTTTTCTACGTTTATACGCGTATCATAAGCTCATTTTGTCCTTCAGCTGGCTTGGGGTGGCAAAATTGCTAATAAACGTTTAAGGCTATTTTAGGACTTGCCCCACCTCATACATTTACTACTGGTATACACGGTTATGAGTTCAAGACTTAGGCAGCTACTCAAAATCTCCAATGAAAGCTTTGAGCAAACTGTTTACGGGGTTGACGTTCAATAACTCTCCAATAGTTAACTTGGCCACTTTTGACATTTTTCTTGTTTTGCCTTCTAAAACTTATTGTGTACTGTTATCCATATATTTAAACATTCATGTATTGTAATATCCAATTCGAGGAATTCTTATTCGGAAGCAGAACAACTTACCAGAGGATTTGTTAAGTTCTAAGTTTGCGCGTTTTCCTCAGCTCCTGTCCATGCAGGAGTTTTCAAGAGTTAATGAGGTGAGTCGGTGTTGGTAAAATGTCCGACGATAAAAGCTCCCATTGCATTTAGTTAGATGATTTTCAACGTAAAACAAAATATAATTCCGAGCCTCTGTAAAAGGCAAGAAAACTAAGATAAGTTTTCACGAGATTCAAATAACGTTTTGTGAATCCGGTTTCATCCCCGTTCATTGGCAATGGACAGTTGTGACAGTTCATTTTGAAATGACTTTACCCGCCTCGGAGAGGCACAGGGAAACCAAGTTCCAGCTGTGAGTCATTGAAGATAATAATGTGAAACAACGGTCATGGCGAAAATGCAAGAGTTTATAAGGTTATATTTACGATATGCTTTAGAAAACATAAAAACTGTAAATTCGATTCCTCATTGAATATACCTTATCTTACTTCCATGGTGTATTACTTGCTTTCTGTGCCCGGTTCGACACGTAGTTTTTTTGCGAGTTTTAGCTCCCTTGGTAGTTTTGAGAAAGTAACGGTCCAGACAGCAAGCAATACATCCTTGAAGTAATATAAGGTGATTTTATTGATAATTTTATGGTATTTACGTTTTCCACAGCGTAGCGTTAAAAGATAAAAGTTAAAGGCTTGTTTATAGTGGAAGTTCACTTAGCTTATCCAGCTAGTTTACAGGCACCCCACTCAGATACTTAGAAACAAATAATTTAAATAGAACATGACAGGATTAAAAATCTCAATTCGGAGGAGACAACCAGTTAACCATTTACAAGCGTGGCCGATCGCGAGGATTGGAACTCGGAAAGACCAAGGACAAATCCAGCAAGAAGCCAGTGCGGGACTTGAACCCGGGACCGCCGGATAGCGAGTCCGACGCGCTTGCCACTCGGCCACGCTGCCCCTTCCCAATATCGCCATACAAACTGTTACATTTTCGCCATGATCGCAATTTTGCAAAATCATCTCCAGTGACTCACAGCTTTAGGTTGGGGCACCTGTGGGGGAGGTGCTGACCCGAAAGATCAGCGGAAATGGAGCCTAGCATTGACTCAGTCTCCTGCGAACAATTCCTCCTTCACTCTACCTCCAGCAGTTTCATCAGTCTGTAGTATCTTGGACAGAATCGTTCCATCGTAGATAAGGCGAAACCGAATCTACTGCTCTTTTTTGAGCCTTAACTCCGGTCAGGTTTTTCTTTTTCCAGAAGCATTTTTCTGAAAAATAAAAAAAAGCTTGCAGTATGAAAATAATCACGGTGTAACTGTACGGTATAGTCGTTAAGATCTGAGCCTTCATGGTTGAATTACCTCTACGCCATAAATTGATACGTGTATACCTTTAAAAAGAAGATTCTCGTGTTTGTTTAAGTTATTTGGACACGTGCAGCTACAAAAATTACAGTAACTGTTTCTCTTCTCCACCCCCACCCCTCCCCCTCTCCAACGTTTTATCTCGTTTCTTCGCTCACTGCTAACACAGTGGGGCCTTGATGTAAGACAACGCCAAGGGACTGAAATCAGGCTCAGTTTGAGAGTGTGAAAGGGAATTACATCAAAGGCAGTCTTACAGGAAGTTGTTGGCTGTTTGTAGTTCCTCTATCTTTTGTTCAGTCTGCGCCATCCACTTCTGGTACTTCTCACCCCACGATGTTTTAACCTGAAAATCATAACGCTTTAAATGTGGATGCAGGTTCATTGATTCAACCTGCTCTTAACTGCTCTCATCACGTTTTTTATTTCACTTTATAAAAGATTTGTCACGCCAAACATGACTCACAACCGTTGGCCATTTTCAGGTTGCGCGACCCTGGGTCGGAGTTATGGCTAATTGCATTATGGGACTGTTTTAGGGATGTTATCGCAAAATTTGTGGACGCCAACAAACCGACAAAGTCATGAAAGAGAATTTGAACTGTCTCAAACTTTATCGACCTTATTCAATCTCATTTAGATTGTCAAATGTTCACGAAATGTCCTGCAGTTGAATCTGAAAGTACTGTATCTAACTTAAGGTACGGGGAGTGAAATATGGAAAAATACACTTCAGAAAATCGTAGGGCATTTATTAGATAAAATTCGAAAATTGTACATAAATGAAACGGTCATTTAGCTGATATTTTTAGCCGTCCTTAAGTAATAGAAAATTCCTGGCAATATCTGCTTCTCCGAACACATATTTTTCAGAAATCAGTCGTTGGGTGCCCTTGTGATATGGCTGGTTTTGCGAGCAGGCTTGATGAAACATGTGATAAAGCAAATCCTTAGTTACAAGTGAGCAAGATAGGCCTACCTTGCCCACTTAAGAATTCTCGCTTAGTTCACGCAAGAAAAAAGTTCCCCTAAACCATTTAATAAATACTTTAGTAACCAAGCTTGTCCGTTCGAGATGGTTCGACATTGACCTCGTTCTCTTTTGCAGTTTTATCGACGTTGACTGTTCATAAAATATGCAGAGAAAGAACTTGGTCAATATCCACCCATCTTGACTAAACAAGCTTGGTCAGGGAGGGGGACCTCTCTTGCATTCCCGGCTCTTGCCCCATTTTTCTCCGCTTCCTCCCTTGAGCCGTTTTTTGATTGCAAACATTTAAGCATGTAGGGGGTCATTCATAATTGAAGTAGCCAGCAGGTTTGAATAGAGTAATTGACTGTATCAACAAGGGGCCATTAGCCCCCTCCTTCAAGGGGGTCTGGGGGCGTGCTCCCCCAGAAAATTTTGGAATTTCAAAACCCTAAAATGTGATTTCCAGTGTTGTGGGGACTAAACTGAGAACAGAAGAACCTGTTTTTCATTCAAGAAAATATAGTTTTCATTCAGGTTTCATACCCATACAATCAATTCTAAATTACAAGCAACAGACAAATGTCAATATTCAAAATTAAGTACATTTGCACATAAAAAAATTCTGCACAAGCCTACAAAGAAACGTGGAAAAAATTCAAGACTGAAATACAGTGTTTGCATAACAGGAAGTGCTTCTGGTGTGATATAACATATCAGTGGGCCTTGAAAGCATATCATAGTAATTTATTAAGCTAATGTTTAATTCAGATTTTATGATATAATATTATTCTTGTTCACAACATAATTAAAACTAGTTGCTTCTTTTCTGAGGAAAAAAGTAGCCAACCACTCTGAGTAAAGTAGCTGACGCGTTTCGTTGGTTGTAGGTGCTTATTGAAACCCCTGGCTGAGCATGGTTGTTTAATTTTCTCCTATTTCCCCCACTCTCCACCCTTTTAAAACTTCCATCTCCAACCCTGGCCTCTGCTGTCTCCCAGTACACTTCCTTTCCCCTCTATTCTCCAGGGCTCGCACCCCTCCCTGTTTAATATCACATATTTATCTTGGACAGTCAAACCCAGTTAATACAGACACTTAGGGGGCCATGGAAAGTGTCTGTATTAAGCGGGTTGAATTTAGAGAAACTGTAAGGGTTTCCTTCGCTAAGGACAAAGCAAACTGTCCAAAATAATGAGGTGTCAGTATTAAGCGGGTGTCTAAAAGCAGGGTTTCAGCATTTGACTGTACCTCCAAAATTAGTTTTTCCTCTTTAGAACACCACTCAGCCTCTTTCTTACTCAGCTCTTCTGACAGATCATCAATTCGTAGTTGTAAAGTCACTGTCTTAGAATTGAGCAGTTCATTTTCCTCCTTAAGTTCTCTGTTTTGTTTCTTTAAGTTTTCGAGGTCAGAAGCAAAGTCAGACTCAGACTGTCTACCCTGCAGAGAACAACAATAGGTGTTGGTTGATCAACATCAAGTGTATATAGTCAAACCATTTCCTGGGGAAGGGGTCAGGGGTAGCAGCCCCCTAACCCACTGTTGAGCCAAAACGTGGCCAGGGCCCAGGAAAATTGTTTTGATGCTGGGCTTCTCTCTTACCTTAGTAGCCTGCATACCAAGTGATGGTTTTTTGGGGGGTGGGGGGTTTGGGGGCAAAGGAAAATAAATTTTGACGACAACAGTTAAGCTTTTCAAACCAACATCAAGGAGTTAGAATTTTTGCAAACCACAATGTAGGCCGCTCATTGCTTATCTCCACACTCTTTTAAAGGATTTTGCTCAAAAAAGACAACCTGTTCAAGATGTCAAATAATATTTGTATACCTTTTTAGACTCAAGACTCAAATTCATACCCTGCTCAGTGGCACATAACCGTATAGGCCAAATGAGGAAATTCCCCTGGCCCCTAAATGGGCTTATAAGAAGTAAACTCAATAATTCACAAAAACAGTACCTGTTTCTCTATCTCATTCTTTAGTTCCTCTATTTCTGCTCTGTGCAGCTCTTTCATAGCAGCAATATTGTCTTGTAATGCCTTAATTTCTTGTTTACTTTGTTGTAGTTTTACTTCATTTGCTGTATCCACAGAGGGGGCTCTTTGGTCAGATGCACAGTTTGCTGTAGTTGAATTGTTATGGGGAGACTGAGGTGCCCCTGTAGTTATATATTCTTTGTCCTTTTTAACGATGGTAGTATTCTTAGCTTTGCGGAGCTCATCCAAGCGTCTCTTCAGATCTGACACTTGTTGTTCAAGCTGAAAAGAGGGATAGATTTTTGTACCACTTAAGAAAGTTCTGTTCTTCATCATTTTTATGTCCCTAATGACTGTTTATAGAGGTTAAGAAAGGCTGCCTCATCTTCACTTACCCTCTTAGTGTTTTTACCAGGAAGTGAAGTTTTACTTCGAAAGCCTCAGGGCCCCTTTCTCCTGGAAAACAGGGGCACTGGAAAAACTTACAGAATAGCTTTATGATTCTTTTACCTATATGGAGAAAGTTGCCCCAATTCTTCTACAAGGAACCTAAAATAAATTTTCTGACAATTTCTAAACGGTAGTAGCATTTTACAGTGTCATCGCTCCGTTGGAGAGACTATGGCGTTATCTAAAACCACTGATACCACACTTACATCTTTGATTCTGGCCTGTGAGATGTGATCCACAAATCCCCCCTGACTGCTGCTTTTTCGCGCTGGACTGGTTACTGCAGCCTTTTTAGTCGTTCCAGTAGAAGTAGACTTCTTCCTACTAAAACCTGTACCAGTCGACATATCCCTTACAGCTCAAGTCTTAGAGAAAAACGTTGGATTGCCCAGCATCTAGTGCTGCTCTTGCTCACCTTGGTGACTGTTAGAGTAGAACTGGGGTCAAGCTTACCGTACAGAGGCGTGGATGCTAAGCATTTGCCGCCATCTTTAATCGAACACGCTTTGTCTTTAGGTCAATTTTTGGCAAATTTTCTCGTATCGATAGGTAGTTTACACGATCAATGCCGCTGAATATTATTCGGGGCCTCTTCAGAGGTGCAACACGTGGAGTAATGACGGGCAAGAGGGGAAACAAGAACTTTTACAAAGGTAAACGCTCGCTTATTCTAATTAATGTGGTAAAGATTATAAACTCTTCCGATCGGTGGATGGCTGCGCATTGCTGTTCTAGGCAGTAATACTAAGCAGAAAAGACTGCAGGAAAGTAATGGGCAAAATTTTGGTGGTAAGGAAGCACTTAAATCAAGGGGTAGGGGACTGGGAGAGAAGCCCTCTTGGGAGGAGACAAGATCAAGTGGTCACTAGTACCTGGGTGAGCCACCCCGGACAGGAACCCTGATCAGTCTCCAGGGGGTGAGGCCTATATCCCCTGGTCACTAGGAACTAAGGGGAACAAGGAAGTGGAGGGGGGGGTCCTCCAGGGTGGAGCACAGATCAAGTGAAACCGGGGTTCCACTCCCTGGAGTGGATATCTCGAAGGGAAAGCCTGAATTACAATCGTTTCACCACAAGTTGTTTCGATGCATCGTAAATTTGATTCACTGCAACCAACTTTTTCAATTAAACAGTTAAAAACAATTTAGAATGTACTACAAATGGGTAATAACGAGTAAAGTTAGCAAAACGACTTTACAACTTTGCAGGGAATCCACTTCATTATGCAGCGAAACAACTTTGTAGTGACATGACCATACTTTGTAAGCCTTACATTGTGGTAAAGTGCAGCCCGGGTTTGCACTTAAACTGCTTCTATCATGCTCGTTAAGCTTCATGCCTGCATAATAACTCAATAATTATTCAAATCTGCACATTCCTGGAGATCGTAATACTTTTACATCAGGGGAAAAGACTTCAAAGTCCTTCACTTCATCTGCACATGGCCAGAAGCTGTCATTTTGCATCGGGAACAACAACCTGCAATGTGCTTGTTTTGGACATTTTTTTCTTTCTTTATGGCCAGATGGCTCCACTAGTGCCAAACAGCATATGTTGGCAAAATGTCCAGGGACAAATGGGCCAATGGGAATTATGGGTGGCAAACAGTGAGAACTTGAAAGAGGGTTAAATAAAGAAATTGTTTTCCAATTTTTATACTGTAGGCCGTGGGGTCAGACCTCCAGGTTATCATACAAGAAGAGGTAAGATCATGTTGGGGTTCCTGTGTTGTAATGGCCCTTCTCTGTTGCTTGCTGCTCCTTCTGCCTTTTCATGGACTGTACCAATAAACTAAGAGGGAAAAAGGAGCAATTTGAGCTGGATTATTCCTGTTCTGTTTTGTTTATATACTTGCCAAAATGTTTTTGTGGAGAACTGATTGTATCTGAAGATATGGACATGTACTGCCAACAATGTACTGAAGACTCCAAAGAGTTCCGAAGTTGATAAGTAAATGGCTATGACTCAAACAGACTTCTAACATTATAAGAAATTTGGGGGAAAGAACTGTATTTCACATGTACTTTTAGTTTCCTATTGATTCAAGATTATTTTATTTTACATATACTTTGAGAACAGGTCTAAGCTAAGGAAGGTTTAAAAGCTCAAATATTTCTGCCACCAGTGGTCCACTTATGTGAGTACCATGACAACAAAGTTTATAGTGTACAGGCCAGAAGCTGTTGTTAACAGTGTATAAGACATGAAAACATTTTTTCTGCTTTTTTTTTTTGGCTAAAATTGAAGAAATTTTTTAAAGCGAAGCATTTTTGAAGCACATTAATTTTTTAAATTTCATAACTATGAACAGGTACTCTTTTACTTTTTAACAATCCTGTGAACAACCACCCGCTTTTACTTCTGTACTGGACACAGATGACGTAATACAAAGGACCTGTTTGTTTTCTGTTAAGGGTTTTTAAATCTCTTTGGCATTGTGAGTCACAATACGTCAGTAACTGTCAGCAACAGTCCTATTCTGGACTACGTTCATGTGACAATCATGCTCAACCTACTGTTTGGTATTGTTTCATGGTTTTGTTTTTTTGTTTTACGTCATCTGTATCAAGTACAGGAAGTACAGATGTAAATGCTCATCCACATACATGTAAGTCATGCAATTCATTGCTTAAAACTCAGACTACCCATTGCTCTTAAAGATCTTTTCCTCCTGAATTGCAAATTACCTCTGTAGCACTTAACATCAGTGGAATTATATCTTTTTTTTAGGTGGATACAGAATTGTTTACAAGAAAGTTCCAGAGTTTATCGTTCCTGATTTGACAGGCTTTGAGGTAATTCGGTTATATTAAAGCAGAGGTATTTCTAGGGCAAATTTTATGATCAGGGGTGAAGAAATTAAAGACGGGAAGAAGACATCGGTCATATACGTCGTCTTTACCTGAACAGTAAAAACCAGTGGTTCAACGTTTTAGAACAATGGCATCTTTAAGGGGTTAATGAACCCAGATTGGTCTCCTAAAGGGTTTACCCTTTACATCCCAAAAGTGACCAACACAGTTTTCTTCTAACAATATCATTCCAAAATTAAGAGAAAAGGCCCGGGAGTGGGGGGTACTTGGGTACTTGTTTGCTGGGTATGTGCCGCTGGCCTCTCAGAGCCCCTACCCCATTATAGTCTATTTTTTGGCCAACTATAGACCCGACCCTAGTCACTTTTTGGAAAATGTAATTTTCGCGATCCCAACTTAGTCACTTTCAATTTATACATCTACCTTATCAATGTGGTTTCAAGCAGCGGAATGTAATGTGGTCAATGGGAGCTTATTGTTAAACTTAACAACAGCTTTCTTATTTTTTAAGTGAGAATCTTCCCATTATAGTCTTCCAATTATAGTCAATCCAGTCGTGAAAATGCGACCCCATCCAGCGGCACATCCCTATTAGCCTCTTGTAAGGGAGTACCCCCCACCGGAGAAAAGGTTACGAGAATTGAGTAAGTTATAACTAAAGGAAATGGACGGAGATCAGTCTGGACTTTTTTGCATGTTCATATTGTGGCTTTACAAGTTAAACCAAGGAAAAAGCCCAAGAGGCAAGGTTGAATTCAATGTTCCAAACTAGCAGCCCTGTCCCCCAGGGGGTACTCCACATTTTAAATGATGGGGATGAGATCGATTTTTGGGGGTTTGAAATTTTTGATTCCGGGATTTTTTGGGTAGGAAAATGTGGCAAGTATTTTTTTTTTTTTGGGTGGCTTGATTAAAGTAGGGGTTTCTTATTCAAAACAATCTGAAGATTCGTGGTAGTGCCAGCATATCCCGGCCGCCTAGTTTTCGTTGTTTTCCATGTTATATCATTTAATGCTTTCTGGAAAGTTTAAAAGGCTTGAAAATTCAGCATGGGATTTTTTTTGGAGTTAAACTTTGGTCCAGGGATTTTTTAAGGTCTCGTAGGAAGAGATTTTTCCCCCTACCAAAGAATTCCTGATTGAAGCATACTAGTAGTCAAGCCAGACTTTCCCGTCTTTACTGTATTATAATTTTTCCCTTTTTTGGTTCTTAGTTGAAACCATATGTTTCCTACAAGTCGCCAAAAGTGGAAATCCCTCCACCAACAGCTGAAAGTCTCTTGACAAGCATAAAAGAGAACATTCATTTACTGAAGTACAGAGAAACACCATAAGAAATATACTGAACAGAGCCTTGATGCTTTTAAATACCAACAGTGACCAATTGCTAACTTCTCCACTAATACATGTACATTATTTTGCTGGATAATAAGCGAGATTATGTAACATTACATTCAGGAAGTTAAAGCTAATTAGTTACTGTCAACTAAAACAGTCGCACAATGGAAAGTTCACAATGGACGAAATCGATTTTCCCTGTTTTTTTTTTTTTCGTTTAAGTGGTTGTTATATACTGCTTTTCATTTGTCCTTTGTCGTTGTTCGTGAATTTTCTAAGGCAGACTTTAAGATTTCACTGCGGCGAC